CTTTTCCTTCTCTCTCTCTCTCTCTCTCTCTCTCTCTCTCTCTTGAAAAAGTACATTTGTTGTTGGTCGGCCACTCGTTTCTACCTCCTTTCGCGCCTTTTATCCTAATTGGACATTCAAGAATAGCACGAAGCTTTCGGGAACATCTTTTGGGAAGAAAGTAATGGCAAGTGCTCTTTCTTTTTCTGTTTCTCTCTTCCTCTCGCCTTTTCTCTCTCAGATATAAAAAGCGCCTTCAGAGATTTAACGATCACGTATGGTCTGACCATTGTAACAACGCGTTAACAGACTTGCTCTTTTGGTACATTATTTGGCAAAGAATTATTTGAGAAAGCAGCTAATAAGACAAATGATCATATTTCAAATTTACACCTTGCTCATCAAATAAGATTGTTTACACAATGTAGAAGAAAATGCGAGTCTTCATGTGTAATAAGATATTTTGTTGAATTCAAACTTACATCCGAATCTTTTACAATAAAATATGGATTTATATCTTTTTTTAATAAATTTTTATTTGATTGTTAACTTTTTAAATTCTCATATTTCTTTAAACATTATTCTAATAAGAGAAATTTTATTAAATGATCTTAAAAACAATAAAAATATAATTTCTTGTTTCTTATTTTACTCAATAATATAAACTAGTATTAAAATTAAAAATTTATAAAAAGAAGAACTTTTTTGTAACTGAAGATTTATTTTCTGAAAATCTTAAGCAGAATCTATCTATTTTAAAATTTTAATTACTGGTGGAAGATTAAAAAAAAAGACTCACCGGTACAGCATACGCTCCTGACGATCGGCCTCTCGATAAATTTTGTAATACATCGCGATCATGATGATTCCTGGTACCCAGAAACTCACACTGGAACTGATGACAGCGTAGAACTTGTTGACTTTGAACTCACACACATCTGGATATCTTCTCCTATACTCGAGATGTTCCTTCGTGGTATACCATCCCGCGAAAATCGGTAGGAAGCTCATAACAGTTGGGGAACACCATACGACGCTCAACATGGTTCCCAATCTCACATTCGTCATGATTAACGGATAGTCCAATGGTTGGACGATCGCGTAATATCTGTCGACACTGATGCAGCAAAGGTGGAGAATGCTGACGGTGCTGAAGAAGACGTCCAGCGAGTTCCACACATCGCACATGAAATATCCGAATAACCAACGTCCGGAAATTTCTACGGAAGCATTAAAAGTCATGGCGAATAACGCCACTAGCATGTCCGCCAGAGCCAGCGATACCACGAAATAATTGGTGATTACACGGAGTTTCCGGTGCCTCATAACCGAAACGATGACCAATAGATTGCCGAAGAGAGCGCAGAGTATAATGAATATCATGATGAAAGCTTTAATAAAAGTTAGCACGAGGACATGCTCGATCTCATTGTGGTCTTCACTGTTTCGTTGGCCGGTATCGAGGGGAAATATATCTGCGGTGTTGTTCGAGTCCCACGTCTTATTTAATCCCATCTTGAAGAATTGATATTTTTTTTTGCGATTTTTTTGCGATTGGCTACCGTTGTCTGGCTCCTTTCTCGTCTTCTTCCGCTTCTTCCTTGATATGGCTGATGTATGATCGATCCATTTACAAAGATCAAATTACAGTTTTGCCTGAGGAATATCTTAGATCTCAAAGTTTTGAATTTGTAGGATCTAAGGTAATTTATTTGGATTGTTTTGTGGCCCACTTGTCGATAAGGCCTAAAATAATGAAATTAGACGAGAATGCATCTCTCGAAAAATAAGCTCTGTTAAACTACTTGGATAAATTGGTACTTGAGTACTTGAGCTTCTAGGCATTTCGTATACTTGGATCTTCTTGAGCTAATGATTGTCCGTTTACATGGATTCTAGTTGTGATCATAATCACGATTATCTTTTCTTATGTTTTGCTGTTGTAATTATTTTATGAAGTTATAATCAGAATTTCTTTTGGATTTCAAGCTGCCGTCTAAATAGGATTTCGTCCAGCACATTTTTCGTAGATTTTAGAGTGTCTTCACATAATCTGTGACAATAACCTGCGAACAAAATATGTACAAACATATATATTTAAAAAGAACAAAAAAATAATATACAATCTTAAATTATGCAAAACTCTATACTAAAATTCTTTTATATTTATAAGTCTACGTAGAAAGAAAGTTTAGTACATTCGCGCAATGTCACATAAATTAAATTAATAGTTTTAAAGTAACATATGTGGATTAATAATATATTGCTCACAAGATTCATTTTATAAAACATACGATACGAATTTTCTGATTTTTAATTTTATGTATAAATTTAAATTATGAAATTATTAGTATTAAATTTAAATTTATGTATAAATTTATTAAAAATAATTTCAAAAATTGCATTCGAATCAATTTGAAAAAAATTAATAAATAAACTTATTTTACAAATCTATTTTATCATAAGAAGCCTAAATATTTGAATTTTAATGGTTATAGATCTGTCGAAGTTTACAATATATTTGAATTGTAATACTTTAGCTACCACCAAATGTGCCATTAAATGAACCTCTTCATCATAAATATTCCAGATAATTTAGATTATCTACAGTCAATGTATTTAGATGTATTCCAACGATGTATGAACACATAATTCGCGTTAAAAGGCCGTTGATTTACCACAGAAATATGCTCGTATATTCTGTCAAAATTGGATTTACACGAGGATCGCGAGATGCTCGCGAATAACAAGTCGTGACAATACGATCTAATGCTAAAGCGATATATATATATATCAGCCAATAGAAACAACAAACGCAAATTAACACACAACCGAATGTACTGTACTGTCTGTAAACTGTAAAACAATTAAATGCGGTTTGAAATTCTCACAATCTAGAATTTAATCATTATGGCAATCGCAGAAATTTAATTATCATGATCATTCAAATGATCATACAAATGATCATACAAATATAAAAATAATAACACATGTCTAACAATAAACAGCGTAGTATCTCATAAATAAGTATCACAAAACTATGTAGTTAGCAATAAAAAAATATAATATTTAATAAATAGAAAAATAGAAATATTACCGAAAAGACATCGTGATATATAATATTATTATTATACAATATTATTATTATAAATATTCTTTTTATTAATGCCAATATGTTCTCGTAATATATAAAAAAACTTATCCATTTCAAAAATATAGTTCTAAAAATATAAAAATTTAGTTGCACTCTCTACATTTATAATATTTCTATATTTATGCGTTTATGTCATTCTGTCTACAGAGGATATAAGAAAACATATCCAAAATGAACGTTTCTCGATATCAAATGATAATCAAATGAGAGAAAAATCCTTCATCGTGTAAGACGAATCGGATTGAAATATGTAGGATATATGGTACGGAATATCGCAATACCGCATTAAGAAATTTACCTCTCTAAAAAGTTTCGATTCTCTCCGGCTGTTTTATCTATTTTGGTACAAGTCAGATTAAAATCGGACGCAATATTTATTTGCGACCGTAACGTGAAATATTTCTCTCGATATTTATAGATCTGTCCAATACAGTGGCCTAGATTTGTGTGGCAAGCTTTCATCCATGAATTCCCTAAATAATTTGTCGACTTGTCCATAACGAAGATTGCAATACGAGGATGATTATTTAATAAGCTTTTCCTTTTTAATATATTAAATATTTTCTGATAAATACATTTTAATTAAAAATCTATTATAAATTTTATAAATTTAATTCTATAAAAGGTTTACTATAACCAAAAATAAAATTTTTCAGTAAATAAATGAAATATATAATAAATAATAAAACAAGTAATTTGACAAAATATATTATTGATATCAACAGGCGTATATATTGTGTATCGTATTTTATACATTTTTCTATTCTCTTTTATTTATTTAAAGAAAGAGAGATAAGTAATAAAATATAATAAAGAATTACAAAATCTTCAAAATTCAACTTTTACGTTAGTTTAGTAAAATTGTAAAAATTCATAAGATAAAATAGAATAAAATGATCTATATCCATGAGAAATGTATATACAATTTTCATTTGCGACGTATTGTCGGATTAATCATATTCACGAAACGTGCGAAATGTCGCCGCTAAAATTTCAGAACTATCCTGAAAAATTCAGCGACAGTCGACGACAATTTCAATGAAAAAAAAAAGAGAAAAAAAAATTTGTGAAGTTATATATAGACATTCACTTCATCGCGTGATGATGAAAATTTCGCGATGGTAAAAAAGTTGGTTCGCGAATAATTTTTCTCACGCGAGAAAAATCGCTTGGCTTGTTATTAGTTCAACTAATAATTTCCCGGAACATGAAACGTGTAATATAATTGTTAGCGTGGAATAATTACATAAATTATATTCGTTTGAATACAATTTACACGTTTAGCTACATTTTTTTACAATTTTATTGTGCCCACTAAGTATTACATATAAAATATTTCTTACACATTTCTAAAATGACATAAATTACACTAATTATAAAATAATAATTTTGTATCTTAACTGTACTTTTATTTTGATTTATATATGTTTTAATAAGTATTTATATATTAACATTTTATAAGTACATATATATCATTTCTTTGTTTAATAAAATATAAAATAAATTAAAAAATTTTTAAACTAGGTTTGAATTTTTTATTCATCTATAATAAAAAGTATATAGAATATTTATTAATTAAAAATACGAATTTGATTCTAAAAATTGATTCTAATTATTTAATACATGTTTAAATAATACATTGTTCAAAAAAATTTCTCTTTAAAATAATTTAGAAACTGAAGATAAGAATGGCTAAAATATTACTTGTGCGTGTATATCAATTACTAATTAATATATTTTAGTATTCGGAGTAGTCAAATATATATTTCTATATTTATTTATTATATTTCAAGGCAAGATTTATAGAAATATTCTATGTATACATACATATTTAACTTATATATCGACGTATATTATATATATATATATATA